CGAAAACGAGGCCGATTTTTCAAGGTTGCCCAGCCCCTGGCCCGTGCGCAGCTCCAAACTGATGTTGCCCCTGCGCTCGGCCTGCAACGCTTGATTGCTTTGCGCAAACCGTTTGGTTAGTCGTCTGCGTTTTTTCCAGCGACTCCTGGGTCGGACGGCTGGCGGGGGCTGACTTTTTGGCAAAGGCCTTGGCTATCGCTGTCGTTGACGGGGGTCGGGGCCTTCGATGCCGCTATTCCGTGACGATGAGAAGCCAGGGATTGGGAACCCAAAAAACGAGATCGGCGCTGGAACCGAACTCGGACACGGCAGCTCGCGCCCACGCCTTCTTCTCCCCCGAAAGACATATGCTGAGCGGCGGGGCCGCTCCGTCAAAGTGGTGGGCCCCGGCGCCCAGCAAGAGGAGCCTGGCTGCAAAGGCCTTGGCTGCCGTGAAGGACGGCAATGCAGACCAGCCATTGCAGACCTTGGCCTTGCCTGCGTTAAGGCGGATAGGTGCGTGCCGCCACAATGCATCCGAGAGCTAATCGAAAATCAAGCGTAAGCGATCGGGCGATCACGTACTTGTGCTCGGTTTTTCTGCTGGGTCCTGCTGACGTGCCTCCCGGGCTTGGAAGACGTTCAGGCTTCGCGGGCGTTGTTGTTTGCTGCTTGCCCCGATGCAACCATGTGTTTCGGCTGTTGCCCCCAACTCATGTCGCTCCGGGGCCCGCCCGGCAAAGAATCTCCCCCCTCGGCTGCTAAATTTCATAAGTTTGGGGTAGAATATTTGCAAAAGAGTTTTATTTTTCAAGTGGGGGGGACATGCTTGTCTGTGTCTTGCAACACTAGGGTTGGCTGCTGTGTGCGCGTGGTGGGGGTGTGTCACAGAGTGCGCGCGAACACTGGCGAATTGTACCATGCCAATATGTGCTGAAACCACCACCAGGCGGCCTCACATGTAAGCTTCTCAGAGCCTTGCTGGAACCGGTTGTTGTCTGTTTGGACGTGGGGGGCGCTTTTTCGGCCAAACTTGCCCCCGGGAGGTTTACCGCATCGCGTTGGTCAAAACATGGCGGGCCACCAATGTAAGGAAACACGCGCTTACCAAAGTAAGGGAAGATGTGCTTATCAAAGGAAGTTGAACAAGAACTTCCGTAGTCAGGCGCAGATTGAATGGCAGGCGCAGTTGTGGCTGGGCGCTTACCTAGTTTAACCAACCCTGTCCTCGGTGCGTCCTTTAGTCTAAACTAGCCTGCCAATTCCAAAAGGTGGCGCCTTGTTTGGGGGGTCTACAGCGCCAAAGGCATCAATTTTGGGGCGGAGCGGTGCTTGGAGTTTGGGATAAGCCAAGGATGCCCCTAAGGCCTTAAGAGTTTAATATGCCATAGTCAATTTCCGTTTGGCTACCATGTGTCCATCCTCTTTCTTGGGTGGGGCCCTCAAGCAGACTTTGTACTTAGGCTTGTCTTTGTTATTTTACTGGAAGAGCTTTGGCCATTGGCCCAACCTGGTGGAGTGTCATAGAGAGTCCGGATGCCTGCCACCGTTGACGCTTGTTGAAGTGTCCAGGCCTTTCAGGTTGCAAAGGGCAGCCGCAGCAGCAACGTACTTACAACTTGCTTGGACTCAAGTTTTGAACTTGCCGATCTGCGTGGATCACTCAAGCTGGCAGTGTTGGATGGAGGATGGAGCATGAAGGCAGAGACAAGTTGCCCTTATCGTGAAACGGGAAGAAAGCACGGCCACGCAACATCCCACCAACATACTTCGCAACGCCAACATTAAGTTGCCCGATGGCAGCGCTGGGTGATGAGCCATGGCAATCCTTGCGGGGGCGGGCGCTCCGAGCACACGAGCTGCTCTTGACTGCAGCGCCGCCCGTTTTAGCGCACGGTCATGCAGAGGAGGCAGGAACCTCGGGGCCTGTCAAACAATTAACCAGTCAGCCAGTCAGCAAGAGGGGCGCTTTTGCCGCAAGCCGCACGCCGCGCAGGTGGCTGCTTTTCGGGATGCCGTCATGCTTGTGCGCGACCTTTCACAGGCTGGGCTGGGTCGAGGCAAATTTACTGGCCCTTTAACGGCTGCCCGGCCGCCGGCTGGGTAGTTGAGTTTCAGTTTTGGGGGTGGCTCATACTTTTTTTTTCAGTTTTGCTAGGCGCAGAAGCCTGATCTCCACATTGCCACGGACACACACCGTCTGCGGCCGCAAGTCCGCGGGAAGGGGCGACCAGCTTTCTCCATCACGCAGTTGTATCACTTCATGACATTGTGTCTTGTTGGCATTGGCATTTGCGGAGTTAGATCTGGAGCATGAGCTTTTGTAACAAGTGGCGAAGGGTGTCGTAAAGTGTGGCATGGCATGGTGGTGGTGCAATGTGGGCCTTTTTTGAGCCAGGGGCAAGGCACGTCAGTTTGCCTGCTCAGGAATATCCATTTGAGAAACGCCGGCCACTTTGCTGCGGTCATTGCCACATCGATTCAACTGGCGCTGGGGGAAAGGGCTTTGCTTGGCAAGGCAGACCGGGGTTGAGATCGAAACACTTTTGTTTGGTCGGCCCCGCATACGGCGAACTGCTGTCAGGGTGGCCGCGACGTCGCTCTGCAAGTGGCAGGGGCAACTGCAGCCGCCGAAGACCAGATCGGGCCGTCTGCTTCAACACTGAGCAGGGCGAGGTACAAGCTTGACGTGCTGCTCATGTTGTCAAGGCGTATTGAGTGGCAACAAGATGGTTTTGCCAGGCAATGGATTTGCCTTAGCCTCTCAGCGAGTCAGTCAGCTAGCGGGAAGTTGCTTCATTAACAAATAAATCAGTTTCTAGTCCCTGGGGAATGCCCAGCCGAGGCTATGACGCTACGAAGCAGAACAAGGAGCTCTTCATTTGCGAGGAGTGGGCAACAAGGTGCTTTTTTTTTGGCAAGTCAGACTTGCGTCAATTTGCAAAAACCCATCAGAATGCGTCTTGGGGCCCAGCTCGGGATTCGAGGCTCGGAGTAGGGATTTGGTTTCGGGATTTGGGAGCCGTGCAGCTGCAGTCTCAGGTGTGATGCTGCTTTGGCGTACTTCAAGGCAACCCTTGCTGCTGCTGCTCAAGACACTGCTGACTCAGATGAGGAGTCCTTGCCTTCTAGTTGTTTTGGATTTCCATCATGTTTCAGCAAACATGTATCTTTTTGCATAGTTGGTCAAGGAGGCTGTTGCGCCAACCGCAGTGCCAGAGCTGGGAACAACTTCTCGGGTTCTTCCAATTGCCAGTATGGGTAAAGGCGGGGGTTCGTGCCTGCCTGACACATGTGTTTGTCAGCAAAGACATTCATTGATGCCCTGTTGAGTCACTGATGGGTCTAGTTTATGTCTCGAACGTAGTGCTGTTTGCTTCCCTCAGGCTTCACGGGTTTTAGCCAGAAGTTGGACGCTCTTGCGTTCGTGCTGGCTCTCGAAGTGTGCCATGGGGACCGCCACGAATGCCTGGCCAAATACTGCGAACAGGTCATTTGCAATGTGAGCGACCAAGGATACTTGACTGGACCAATTGGGGGGGGAACCCAGCAATCCTAGGTCCTCGTCCCACTCTACCCGCCAGATTTTTTGCCGGCCCACGATTGACGTTGCACCTGTGATTTTTGCTGGGGCCGCAGCGGCGTTTCCACGACATTTCAAAGGCAAGAAAGGGATCCGGTTTTTGCAGGTCAAGCGCCTGCCAGCATTTTGGGGTGAAATAGGTAGTCATACCCACCCCCCCCCTCCCGAAGGTGGAGCAATTCAGCATCGTCCCAAGCGAGTCAGCGTAAGACCGATGGATTTGGAAAGCGAAACATGTGCCAGGCATGCGCATAGGCGTCATGTGCCAGGCACGTGCGCGGGCGTGCGACGTAGTGCGTGAGCGGGTGCGCAAATCCAGTGCCACGCGTGTAGACGGGCTGCTGTGGTGTAGTACGTGAGTAGGTGTGCTTTTATCACACGCGGAGGCGTGCGACGAAGTGCGTGAGCGCGTGTTCTTCCCAGGCGTGCGACGTGGCTGGCTGGCGCATGGGTGGGTGTGCTTGTCATGCGCCAGGTGTGTGCGCAGGTGTGCGACGTAGCGCGTGAGCGGGTGTGCTTATCATGAGCCAGGCATGTGCGCAGGCGTGCAAGGGTGCATGAGAGGGTGTACAAATCATGTGCCAGGCTAGGTGCGTGCAAAGGCGTGCAAGGTAGTCCGTGAGCGGGTGCACTTATCGTGTGCCAAGCGTGCTTGCAGGCGTGCGACGTAGTGCGTGAGCGGGTGTGCTTACATCATGCGCCAAGCACGCGCGCAGGTTTGCTTATCGTGTCAAAAGACCGTTTTGTGGCCCGGCAAAAAACAGCCTGCGTGGTCTAGTGTTTTTTGGTTGCTGTCAACCACCCATAGCCTATCGCCTGATGCGGGTAATTTTTGCCGAGCGACTGGCCGAGGAACGGAGAGCAAGATCGCAGACTCAGCTCTCATCGACTTCAACCAGCTTAATGGTGATATGGCTCGCGACCTTGGCGGTGAAGTGAGCGCCACAACCTTTGACGAGTTAATGGCCCCTTCTGACACACGCCCCGTGCTTGAAGACGACCGTGTGCCAATGATGGCCTTGCCAGATCATGAAGCATGCCAGTGCCTTTACCAAAGCAGCTTAAAACCCCTCTAGTTCTGGTGGCTTTGGGTTCGATGCTTGACTGGCTGATTGCGGCCAAGCACACTACAAATGCCAAGGCCGGCCGATGTGATTGCGCTCCCCGACGAACAACAAACTGGCGGGCAAGAAGTAGACAATGTTCCCGATGAGAGAGGCACAGATGAAGAAGGACCTGATGACTATACCAGAGACAGCAAAATGTTCCCAAATTCCATCAAAATCACAGGAATTAAACATATTTGTGATAACCTGGTGGGTGCTGTTCTACGATCGATGCCGGGGACGCTTGCATGTATTTGGATTTGGGTTGGTGACAGTGACCCCTGTGAATTTCCAGGGCACGCAAGTTGTTGTCTCATTAATTGTCTCATGAGGGCAAAGTGGGCTGCTCTTCTACCTCGGTTACAGGCTCTAGATCATTTGCTGAACTCGGTGACGTGGAGGGAGAGGTTCGTGTCAGTTTGCATGGGTGATCAGCATCCGGATCGAGACTTGATTCTTCAGTGGTCGGGGGACAAGTTGGGGGGCCTCCGCTGGGAAGTCATTGCGAATTTTTGCAGGGATGTGCCTCGGGCATGCTGGCATATGTTTGTTTCATTAGACAACCTGACTCAACCATGACATCAACACGCCTTGACCTTGGACTTGTCATGTCAAGGTGCTTCCGGTGCAAGGGCTGCTCCGAAATTCGTGGGATCTGAAGAGGTACCTCAAGGGCACAGACGAGTCCGAGAAGAGGCGGCCCTTGCTATTGGAAGAAAGCGGTCGCGCTATTGCTGAACGTGTTTCGTCCATACTTCGAAGCGACCATGACTGGGCGCTCATTGCCCTTGTAAGGGACGTAACGTTTGAGTGCGAAGCTGTAGGTAGATGGTGTGAAGGCTGTCCATGCTGCAGCAGCCAGACTGCCACCCATGCTGTCCCCGACCCCGAGCAGGCAAGCGTTGCTGACACGGCTTCCGGCGCAGGAAGGCGCCAACGCAAGAGACGCGCCCCAGCTCGACCGCCATGCCCTTTGAAGGGCTGCAAAGCGCCAGAGCTTGCGCAAGGCTTGTGGGCGGACCTACAGTGCAATATCATGCGGCGCAACCACGGTTGCTTTGCAGGACATGTGGCATGTGTGTCCGACCAAGTGAAGTCAGAGCTGTGGTCGGTGTGGCACAGTTCGCGCGCCAAGTTGCTTGGACGCTTGGTTGAGCTTGGCGGACACATGTTATGTTGAAGCCGATTCAAACGAGTGCCTGGTTCCTCCTTTCTAAGGACAGCTGACAGTCAAACTTGCATTTTGGCAGCAGCTGCCATGGCACTTGTGCGCCGAGTTTGCAGCCAGATTGCTTGAGCGAGTTGGGCAGGTTGCCAGACGTTGCCTGCAGATGTATGACCGCAACCCGCATTCCACACAGTCCCAACATGTTCAGGCCCAGCGTTTTCTGAACCCTTGGTGGCAAGGCCTCCATGGTCGGTCAGACGAAGACCCGCCTCTTCGAGAGTACGTAGACGGGTTTCGATTGGCGCCCAATCTGAGTTTTAGAAAACCACTGAGTTTGTGGGTTGCGTGCTTGCTTCTATCCCTTCCCCCTCTTCTGGGCTTGAAACACTCTCTGCTCTTCCGCAACGTGCTGTTGAGGTGCGGGTTGCAGAAAGATCAATAGAAGGAAGACACTCCTACATTGGCAGAGTTCTCAAGAGAGCGCCAGCAGCACAGCTGGCTTACCAGAGCCTGGAGCTTCGGTTCGCAAGCCTCCAGAGGCTGGCTTCAACGAAGCCGCTCGCAGCTGCGCCCAAATTTGGTGATTGGAGAAGGGGTCAGGGTCAGCGTTTCTTTTTTGGTGGAACCGGCACACCCACTCAGGTCCTTCGAGCTTTGCAGCAACAACTGCAACTGCATGGGTTTGAGAGCAGCGCCGGATTCAGGGAGGTAGTTCTGAACTGTCCTCAGGCCCTCCTGCGCTGTGCTGTCAACGCTTGCGCCACTGAAACACTGAAACACTGTACCTTTTGGCGCTAGCAGCTCTAAGGACAATCTTGGGGCTGAAGCCCTGCCCTTATCTTGACGCCATGCCGGATCACCAGCTGGTCAAACTCCTGTACAGGGACGACGTGCGAGTCAAGCACAGCTCCAAGAAGAGGCGGGCGCAAGAAATGTCTGCAAAAGCGCAATCGCTGCGCAACAGCAGCAACCCAGAGATACAGGATGGTAGGGAGGGTGGCAGCGGGCTGCGTTCGCCATTGTCCAAAGCCTTGGTGGACTTGATGGCCCAGGCTGGACTTGATGGGCCCCCCCCGTCCCACAAACAGCCGCGATTGTCGGCACTGCAGACGCAGCCCCGCGTTGCGCGCAGGTTGCTCACAGGGATGCTTCTGCCTGTTTTTCAATCAGCCGTTCGCTTCTCACGGGGCGCGGCCAACTTGTGCCAATTGGGCAAATTACAAACGCATTGGCGTTGACGCACACCACGACCAGCGCCTCTCCTTGAACTGTGCAAAAACACGCATTCTTCACAATCCGCATGACTGAGCAACTTACGCAAAAGGCTTCTTGTCTCAGGCACTTCTGCGGCTGCCCAGCTTCAATTGAGCGATGTGCTGGACACGGAGGATGGTGAAAATCTGGCATCAGCACGTTCGGAAAGGCGGCTGGGAACGGTGCACTCGCTCGGCGCTGCTGACGGCGCCAGCAAGAAGACACGCTGCAGACCTGAGTTGGCCCCTGCTTCCGACCCCGACCCAGCTTTGAATATGGTTTTCTTCAAGCCTGTTGAGGGGAGCATGTCGCATTTGACAGTCATGGGCGCATCTCTCTCACGTTTTGAGCTTCTCATCCAGCAGTATGCCCCGGTGGATTACTCCATGGATCCGGGATCTGTCGTGCCCACAACCGTACAGCTTGTGCCTCAGGGGTCGCCAGTTGCGTGCAGCTTGTCCCACATTGGCTACGAGTCACTTTCCAACTCGCTGCTGGTTTGGAAAGAAACCGGCCTGCGCTACGATGTGATTCGCGACATGCGTTTCGGCTAAAGACTTGGGATGGTCCAGGTGCAAATGTGGCAGACGCGGCACATGGGGATATTCCACACATGGAAATGTTTCCTCTTCACACACACTGTCCAACCCAAGGCCTCATCAGGCTTCCACCCTCTTGTGCACTATGGCTATTGCCGGTGCGTTTTGGGCCAGCCCAACTACCTTCTATGTCGAGCCTGATGATGACTCTGCTGGGTTTGATTACCTACAACGTCACGGGTTGGAGCCAACCTCAGTTCAGTTGCCGGTTCATGCTTCAACTCAGTTCTGACGTCAGTCGGGCTTGTGCTGTGTGTTCAATATTCACTTCAGTGACCACAGCAACCGCGGGCCTCAACCGAGGTTGACGCACGCCCACGATCGCCGTTGGACAACTTCAACATCACCTGCGCGGGGCAGAGCGCATTTCGGATTTCGCAAACGTGTTTTGAGCCAGCGCTACTGAGAGATTATCAGCCAGACACATCAGTCAGCCATGACAAGCTGACAGTGTTTGAGCTCGTGAGGTTATTGCAGCTGGGCGGATGGACCGTTGTTGCAACGCAGAAACGCAAGTCACTGCCACCATATGTGCAAAACGGAGACAAATGTGTCTACTATCATCAGCGATCAGCCCATGGTGATTTGCATCACACATACTTGATTTGCTTGTTGACAGCAGACAAACTGTTTGAGAGAGGGGCACGGGCCATCCACCACTTTGCCCTGCACAAGTACTACGAGGCACTTCTCCAGAGCAAGAACCCGCGTGCAGTTCTTCACGCGCAGCCTTGGGCATATTACCAGCTCCTCCTCCAAAAAGAGAAGGAAGGAGCGCAGTTTGGTTCCAACTTCGACGATGAGCCTGGCACCTTGGATTAAGTAGCGCATCGTGGCGTGACACGCCAGCTGGCCACCGCCGTTGCCAAGGTATCCGGCTTGCTGGCAAACCGTGTAAACCGCGCCAGCTTCCTCAAGGGGCGCGCGGCAGAGGCAGAGGCCAACGAGGCCGAGGCCGGGGTCGGTCATTGCCAGTTCAGGATGCAGATTTGGACTCAGACAGTGCGCGCGCTGGTCGCAGCTCAGAGCCAGACCTGACTGACGAGTCAGACTTGGTTGTACCAGACGAGTTGGAGGACTCCCCAGCCCTTGACCCAGCCCCGGCTCCTTTTGCACTTGACCCAGGCGTCAGCCTTGGTGAGCCTAGGCGAAAGGGCGCAAAACGCGCGCGCCCAGACGACCCAAGAAACGCTGCTCCTCACCACCGTGAAGATGCGCTAGCTCTTTTTGGGCACAGACCGAATCTGAACCCACCCCATGCAGTTGCAGAGCGGACATGGCGCTGGAATCTGTCAACGATCTGGCTTGGCAACATACCAATCACCGAAAGGACTGATAGGGCCGTTGCTTGGTGTTATAAGATCATATCACCGTGCTGTCTGGCTTGCTTTCGCGGTGTCAGCTTGCGTGTGCATGTAGCCCAGGTACCGTCCTTCTATGTCAGATGCCCACTTCACGGGACATCGTTGAGAAGCTGCACGAAATCAATGCAGACCAACCAGCCCGACAAGGAGACCGTGGTGTTGCGCCTCATTTGGTGGCTGGTTGAAGGCGCCTTGTTCTTGACCGGCCTTACATTCCACCCCGCCGTTCCCACGTCGTTTCTTTGCAGGAGCTTCCCATGGCCATATGCCATGTGACAGGTGGCCATCTGACATGTGGCTGTGTTGCCGGCATCTGTTCTTGGCCTGGTTCAGGCTTCAAGCAGGAGGCGTCGCAGGGGCAATCTGCTGAAGAGCAGAGGAGACGTCATGTGCGCACGGTCTGGAGCTTAAAAGGGAAGCGGTTGACAGGTGGTCTAGGTCCCAGCCCAATATCCTCCCAATCTGTGGAAAAACCTTTGGGTGTTGGGTTTTGCTGTTTGTGCTGCAGCATGGGTGGTGACGCTGGGGATGCACGGCAATGCTGGGACGCGGGCGGTGCTGCTGAAGCTGGACGTAAGCCACCAAGCAATCAGACACAATCCCTGAATTTCTGTTTTGCATCAAAGGCTGCGCAAACCTTTGTTCCCATGTGGGGCTTAACCCCACGCATTGTATTTGGATTTTGAGGAAGGGCATGGCTCAATGGATCGCCCCATATATCCCCCCCATTTGCCCCACATATCCCTTTTGCCCCATATATCCCAGGCCCATTTGCCCGAAGCCCATTTGCCCCATATATACCCATTTGCCCCAATGTCCAACATATTCCCATTTGCGACATATCCCCATTTGCCCCATTTGCCCCACATATGCCACATATCCAGATATGTCAGATCCGCCAGAAATATATATATATATGCTTTTTTTGAACTATGTATATATATATATATATTATAAGAGATATCCCAATTTGCCTCATGTATCCCCATTTGCCACCCTCCAAGCAAATCCCGAGGGCATGTGGCCGTGCGTTTGTTTTCTGCGGTTGGTGCCTCGGCAGCTACGCCTTTGCTACGCCAGTGCGTTGCAGATGCTGCAGGCCTCCCTTGAAGACTTTGTTCGACTGAACAATGTTTTGCAACAGCGCTTTTGGGGTATAATTGTTCGTTAGCCCGAGGAATGCTAAAGGGGCAGGTGCTCAGTGCTTAGGGGAATGAAACACTCCCCGCGCCGGTTTTGGCAGGGCAGGCTATTTGGTTGTGTTGCCCAGGCATGGCAGGCTATTTAGAAAGATGGCAGGCCAGGGCTAAGGCCAGGCTATTTAGGCAGGCCAGGCTATTTAGGCAGGCCCGGCCATTCAGGCAGGCCAGGCTATTTCGGCTATTTAGGCAGGCCAGGCAATTTGGCAGGCCAGGCTATTTGGTTGTGTTGGAATGCTGGGGTTTGGCTCAAGAAAATTATTTGACTTGACGCCTGGCGCGGGGGCGTTGCTTTCATGAACTGAGACATAACACTTTTCACGCAGCTCAATGCTTCGCAGCTGCAGAAAATAGCACAATAATTTCACTACGCAGGCACCTCCTACCGAACGACGCCTCCTGGGAGAACGCTCTGACTTGGAG